AAAAGAAAAGAAAAGAAAAGAAAAGAAAACCAAGCTAAGTCCATCAATTGCCTCCGCTGATTGCCTAGAGGCAATCGACAGGCTGCATCACAGACTGGGAACTCAAGCTCACTGGTGGTCTCACTGAGTTGAGGAGACAAAGAATGGAGTTCATGGAGGCCAAAACACTAGAATTTGTGGAGTAGAATACGGAAGGGAAGGGGGATCCACAGAGAGCAGCTCTAGAGATCTGTAGAGGAGTATCCTCAAGTCTTTGGCAGATTAATGATCTGCTCATGTAAGAAAGAAAACTATATGAATGTGGGTAAAGAATCAATAGACCAAACAAAAACCAGAGTTTACACAGGACTGCAAATAATTTATATTCCTAGAAACTGGAATGGCAAGACCTATAATATAGCGGGGGAATGGGTAGTGTTCTTAGAAAGATATCACTTTATTTGAAAGTTGTAGAGGAGATGTTGGTAAAATTAGCCTTAGACTGAAAGCTGCTCTGGAACTGCACTAACAAATCTTAATAGAAAACCTTGGAAAGACCAAACTGAACCTAAGTAACCTAATTGCATGCCAGAGCAAGTCTAACACTATGGAAAGGAATAAATCAAAATTTGGCGTCTAATATCTAAACTTAGAAACGTACAGCATTCAATCAAAAACTACCAGAAATGCAAAGAGCAAGACAATATGAACTATAGTCAGGAGTGCTATTGGCTGAATAGTGTCCCTCTCAAATTTATATGTTGAAGCCCTAATCCCCACTACCTCAGAATGTGACTAGATTTGGAACCAGTGCCTTTTCTAACAAGTTTTCAATTAATGCTGGTCCAAGGAATGCGGTTTGGGAACCAATGGCCAAAAGCATTTACTAAAAGGGCACACACAAATAATACAGAGGTATGGCAAATACGCTAATATTGGAGAAAAAAATACAATCATAAAAAAAATTCAGTTAATCCAAAGGAGTGTAGAAAATGAAAGAAAAAAAAACCACAAAGAACAAATAAGTAGAAAGCAACAGTAAATTGCTAGATTTAATCTCAACCATATTTTATTAAATTAATGTAAACGGTCTAAACACTACAGCTAAAAAAGCTTCAATATACATGAAGTAAAAACTGATAGAACTACAAAGACAGATAAATCCAGAATTATAGTTGATTTCAACATTCCTCTCTCAGTAATTGATACAACAAATAGACAGAAATTCAGTAAGTGTATTGAACACTTGAACATCACTATCAACCAACTGGAACTAATTGACATTTATAGAATGCTCTACCCAATAATTATGGAATATTTTAACAAAATCTTTTCACTTGCTTGTGGAAAATTCAGCAAGATTGATCATATTCTGGGCAATAAAACAGGTATCAATAAATTTTAACTAATTAAAATCACAAGGAGTATATTTTTAGATCAAATTCCAGTTGAACTAGAAATCAAGAACAAAAATATATGTGGAAAATTCTTACATATTTGGAAATTAAACAACATACTTTTTTTAGAGAAAAAGACATACAAATTTATTTTACATGTATACATGTATACATGGGAATCTCAAGAATGAAGATTCAACTCCCCAATGAGATTTGGAAGCTTATATGCCTTTCTGGTAAAATGGGTTTTGTGAGGGGGGAAAAGAAGAATCCTTAAAACAATATACTTCTAAATAACCCATGGGTCAAAGAAAAAAAATAACATGGGAAACTAAAAATACTTTTAACTGGATAAAAATGAAAACAAAACATACCACAATTTGTAAGATGTAGCTAAAGTAGAGTTTAGAGGAAAATTTGTAGTATTAAACACCTTTATTAGAAAATAAAGGTCTAAAATCAATGAAGTAAGATTCTACTTTAAAAAATTAGTAAAAGAAGAAATAATGGAATCCAAAATGAGCAGAAGGAATAAAATAAGGAAGAAATATGAAAATAAATGATCTTATACTTAATAAAATTTGAATTACTACTAAAACCATAGTGTGACTCTCATTAAAATGAGAAGAGAATGAGTCATTTGTTTCTTCACACAAATTCTCTGTCAACATTGCATTATGGCAATAAGATATCATTATTTTCTTGCTTGCCTTTGACAGGGCAATTATAGAGTTATTTCTGCAAGTTTTCCAAATTTTCTAAAGGCATCTTTTAAATACTTGATAAGCAAACCATTATTTTGAAAGCACCAAGGATATCATGTAGTTTTTGTTTTGTTCTTACATTTTCATTACAATTGTTAACTAGTTTAACACTATGATATCTTTTCTTTGTGTGACTTGAGGAGTTTCCAATGTCACTTTCACTAACTTAACAAAATCCTAAAACTTTTTCCAAGATATACAATTATTCTTTGCAATGCACTTGTGCTAAGTTTGCATTAGATTGCTGCAATCTAACAATTATCTGGAGATTTTTCTACAAAAACTTTGATGAGATGGGTGGAGACAGGCTCAGAGATAAGCAGAAAATGATGTTTGGGGGTTGATGCTGGCAACTAGCTTGACAAATGTTCGATATATTTGTGTATATTTTCCTAGTCTATCAATATTTGCTTTTCCAGTAGATTTGAAGTGTGGGATCTCATATAATGAGAATTTATTCTCTCCATTTGATCTTATTCACTCTTTGTATTACAGATCCAGAAGATTTGAGTGACTTGACCCACGGACATAAGAGCCAATGTGAGAGGGACCAAACCTAGGTATTCTTAATTTGCATTGTTTTGAAAACACTACAAGCCAGCAAAATAAAGATACAGTCTGAATTTCACCCAATCCCAGAGTACTAATTCTCTACTAAAAAGGCCACATAAAGTTCAACCTTTCTTTCTCCCTTTGCATAATGCTTAAACTTAACAGCTTCAAATATGATATACCTTTTTTATAATAAACAGGAAACTAAATTTGGGTTAGATGTAATAAATTTCTGGCAAATTATTACATATTAAATGGTTTACAAAGTAATATTCAGAATATCTCTTTGTGTTTTTGAAAAATTATTTATTGCTGCTTTTAGTATTTTATAGTTAACATTCTGCTGCAACATACATAGTGAACATAAGAATTGTTTGCAACATCCCCCCTCACCTCCCCCCAGGAGGGACATAGTAAAATAAGATTGCCACTTTTTTTTATATGGGACAAGCTGAAAATGCCCTGCTGAAAGCACAATGAACATTCAGTAAGAAGGTATGTGTTCATGTCTGAATTTTGACTCATTAACCATAGCTTTTGATAAATCATTATATTTTGGGGTACTAGCTTCTTCATTTCTAAAATAGTGAAGGTAGAGTGACTTAAAAGCTCCTTCACTCTTCATGATCATGTCATACCATTACATAATTCATTTTCTGAATTTAAAAATGCCATGAATGAAAGCATCCACTCTTAAATACCTGTGGAAGATAAATTGATTCAACCTTTTGGTTTTAGTAGGGCAGAACCTAAACACACATATCCTTTGAGACAGCAATTACACTTCAAAGATCCCAATCTACTGCAATACTCTTATGGAAAAAGTACGTACAAAGATAATTACTACAATACTCTTTGTATAGTAAAGAACTAGAGGTAAACTAAATATCCATAATTAGGGTAGTAATGGTCGTGGTAACCACAATTCCAAATTCCAGAATACTGTGAGATAGAAATTATCCATGATCAATATATGAGTTCATCATTAAAGAGTTGAAGAATTATATACTATAGATTCGATTTTTGTTTAGAAATGAAGGTTTACATTTTAAATATATGTGTATATATGCATATGTGCATACATATATGTATATAAAATACATGTACATGCTTCCATATACTTTTATAAATACATACACATACACAAACTTATAAAAGCTTCTGTAAGTATATAAAACAAAGAGTTACCAATCATCACTTCTGGGCCCAGGAGTGTTTAATCCAATTTAAATTTGTATTCTACTACTATACTAAACGAATGCCTACTGGTTTAATACATAACCACTTTCTCAAAACTAAAAAGTGTTGCCCAATATACAGTATTAAAAAATGGTTTAATTTATATGCCTCTCTTCCCTATTTTTATCTCTATATGTTCTTTCAGCAATTTATGCACATGAGGTTAACCAAAATGCTACATCTTAAAAGAAACCTTCCATTCATTTTGTGCTTTTTTTCCAGTTAATGAGACCTTAAAATGTTGATTCATTCTTTTCCTAAGTATGCTATTTAAAAGTCCTTTAAAAAAATAATGCATTTCAAGTGCCTGCCCCAGAGTAAATTACATGAAGTGAGAGTGTTGTACAAAATGTCAACAGCAGATGGTGCACATTTGCTCTTCTTAAATGACCTTTACTGTCTCCAGAAAAAGAACAAACTACCAACACAAACACAAAATTGCTCTGAAACATGAACAGTGTAACAAATGAGAATCCTTAGCTAGCTGAAGGAACCAACAATCCCAATCTATTTTCCTGTAAATGATGTTCTGTTGTTTTGGGATTTGGTTTCAGAATTGAGCAAAAGAAACTATCAGAGTTTTTAGCAATATACTATGAAAACCAATAAAAAATTCTTATTAAAGGTCAGTAAATTCCATTAAATAGAAACATGTCTGTGGTGCATAGCAAGAGCCAGGTGAGTCTGAAAAAATTATAACATCTAAAATGGGTGATACTGGAGAAAGATGGGAAAGGAATTGGGTTGATATACATATTTTTTTCTAAAGTTCATCTTTAACTAGCACCCTGAATATTACAAATGACCACTACTTTGTAAATAATGCTTCCCTCTTTATCTCAAAACTACTTCATTAAGGAAAGGAAATATTACAGAAGTGGCTTCAAACATGGCTGTAATCTAAACCCCATGGGTAACTTTATTCATTTTTAAATTTTGCTTCTCAGGCTCCATTCCATAATTTCTAAAACAAAATCTTTGCAGGTGGAATCAGGGGGCATCTTGAATCAGTGAATCTTTCAATAAATAATATTTATTCATGAATTCATAAATGTGGTTTTTAAATAAAACCTATTTAAGCTGGTCCATGCATTTATAATCAAATATCCTTTGATGTTTATCAAATATATTTTTACAATTAGGCAATGATCAACTATATGCTAATAATTGTAATGATAACTCAAGCCAGAAGTAAACATTAACACTGGAATCTTGTGTTCACAGAAAATTTTGAAAATGAAATATATTTTTTGAAACTTGTTACATTCTTTTTGCAGAAGTATTATTAGTTTAGCAATAAAAGTATAAGTAATTCAAACATAGAAATATATTGAATTTTGATAAAATTCTATGGGTTAGTGGAATAGAAATTTAAGTTCAAGGAAAAAAAGAATGACATACTAATAAAATTTCCCACTGCTAAATGAAGAGCTTGTTTGTGTATATTTATAATCAATGAGGTTGGTACCGTGTAGCCAAGATATTTATAGTCTAGTATATATAAACTAATTAATAAATAAAGGAGTTACTTTAATTGTAAAATGTTGACATCTGCAATATGTTAGAAATTATATCTTTCTCAACTACTTAAACTTATAATGAAACAATTTAGAAGTAAACTTAAAAATATGTGAGTGAGTATATAGTTTTTAAAATCCTTTTAGAATTCTTATACATCATTGCTCTGCACTATGGTGAGTTTACAGAGGATAAAGGGGCTGGCTGGTCTGTGCCTTAAAGTGAACGCTTTTCCTTTAATAGTTATTTCTTCAGATCACAGACACATAGTCCATAAGATGAATATTTTCTATAAAATTATAGTTTCAAAAAAATTATGTGTGGAAATATTTCTGGTTTAATGACTGTATATTACAATGAAGAGTTTTTTTTTTTTTTAAAGATATTCATTCTGGTAAAAGGCACAGTGATTTGATTTTTAAATCCATTCATTGTTAGAACTATTTGTGAAGTTCCCTTGTTTGCCAACATGATTTTTGAAAACCTTTTCCCATGATCACCTGATATATGCTGTGGGAATAAATACAATTTTTGATATGAGTTTACACAAATTTATAAGCCTAGTTCATAAATACATTATAGACCAATTCTAAGCCAAATTTTAATTATTTTGGATTATAATAACCTGCCTTGCTTTCTCCTTTTATAGTGATAGAGTGTTTAAGTGACTTTGTAATTTGTAAACCCACTGCTAATTCATCTTTTAAAACTTCATGTAATGATCTGGAAATATTTTCATTTAATCATTAACCACATGTCAAATTTTTTCAGATACAGTATCCTTACCCTCTGTTACATTTTGCTATTTCATCAAACAGAAGTTTCCACCGAGGACGTCCAATATAAAGTCTTGAATTCAGTGCATGGTATTTTTCTCCAATTATCTTCTAAGAAAAAGAAAGCACTATATTATTCACAGATTTGGATAAATAACTCATTTCTTTAACAGCATTTCTTCTGGTTTTGTGGTTTCCTACCAAATCGCTGTGACATAAAGAATATAAGTGTCAAACGGCAACCTAGTAAGAACAATCATTTAGACATATCATTTCCTTCCTTTTTTCCTTTAAAATGTGTTATCTTCTTGAATGCCATTCTTACAAATGGCTGATTTTCCTAGACTTCGCTTAGTTGCTTCATTTTTGAAAAACTACAATGTAAGACAAAGAATGCATTCTGATTGCTCACTCTCAGAAAGGCTCAGCACATATATTTCATTGAAGTATTTTTGTACCACAAATAGAGTTGTCATATTTGGCTCATTATATGAATAAGATATTATAAATTGTCATCATAAATTTGGGGAAATGATTTTAGGTAAGACAGCCCAAGACAGCAGAGCTATTAATACAAACTTGGACCTATCAACAAATGGCTATTATAGGGCTGGTGTCTGCAGCTAAGAGAACATTAGAAGAGCGATATGGCTGAATAGAAATCTCCAGCGATTGACCCTCTGTATGAACTCCTAATTCAACAACTATCCACACAAGCAAGCACCTTCAGAAGAACCAAAAATCAGGTGAATGATAATATTACTTGGTTTTAACATTATATCAAGGAAAGAGGCACTGAAGAGGGCAGAAAGACAATCTTGCATTGTCTACATGACCACTTTCCCATTCCCAGCAGTGCTGCACCAGCACGCCCAGTGGAGAAAGAATCTGTGTGCCCAGGGTAGGGAGACTGAAGTGATCGTGGGGCTTTGAATTAAAACTCAGGGCCACCCTGGCACAGGGAAACACAGCACAGGAAAGATTTCTGCCAGTGCCCGTGGTAAGAGCATTTAGACCAACCCAGCCAGAGGGAAATCCTCCACCCAGAAACCTGAGTTCTGCCTAGCCCCACCACCAGCTGAAAAAAACTGGACTGGAGCCTGGAACAAATTTGTAAGGCAGTAAAGCCACAGAGGCTGCAGGCCTTGGGCAATTCCTGTGGTTGTGCTGGCTCAGAGCCAGAGGACCTGGGGTGCATATGACCAGTGAAACACCAGTGGCGGTCGCCTGTGTCACCACCCCTCTCCTCCTAAATACAGGCAGTGCAGCTCAGGGAGTTTCTTCCACTTGGGGAAAAGAAAGGGAAGAGTTCAGAGGACTTTGTTTTGCAACTGGCATACCAGCTCTGCCATAGTAAAATAAAGTACCAAGTAGACTCCTGAAGCCATAGAGTCCAGGCCTTAGTTCCTGGATGGCATTTCTAGACCCATTCTGGCCCAGAAGAAAATATGCTGCTCTTAAGGGAAGGACTCAGTCCTGACAAGATTCACCACCTGCTCATTAAACAGGCCTTTGGGCTTTGAATAAACATCAGAGGTAGCCAGGAAGCAGTCACCATGGGCTTTGAGTGAGATTGGGCTGGTTTCAGGTGTGTCCACAATGGAGTACTCATGTCACTCCTCCCGCAACTCCAGTAGCCCAGTACAAAGAGTGAGGAAAGAGAGTGAAAGACTTTGCATGGCAATCCATGGAATTCTCTCATATCTTACCCTACCTAGTCCACCAAGGTGGTACCACCAGGAGCCTGTGAGAATCACAGCATTACTGTGTTTAGAGCACCTCCAGTGCTGATATGGCTGCAATGACCAAAGACTTAGATCACAGCATTCAATTCCCTCTGAATATCTGGAAAGCCTTCTCAAGAAGGACTGGTTCAAACTAGCCCGGACTACAAAGATTAAAATAAAGACCTAATTCTTCAATGCCTAGACATTGACAAACATCCACAGGCATCAAGAACATCCAGGAAAACATAATCTCACCAAAAGAACTAAATAAGCATACCAGTGACAAATACTAGAGTGACAGAGACGTGTGACCTTTCAGACAAAGTAGCTGTCCTGAAAAAGCTCAAAGCTTCCAGACATCAAGGAGAAAGGATTCAGAAGGGTAGCAGAGAAATTTAACAGAGATTGAAATAATTAAAAAGAAAGCAGAAATTCTGGAGCTAAAAATTCAATTGACAAACTAAGATATGCAGCAGAGTCTCTCAACAGCAGAATTGATCAAGCAGAGGAAAGAATTAGCTTGATGACAGGCTCTTTAAAAATATTCAGTCAGAAGAGGAAAATGAAAAGAGAATAAAAAACAATGAAGCACACTTACCAGATATAGAAATAGCCTTAAAGGGGCAAATCTAAGAGTTATTGGCCTTAAATAGGAGATAGAGAGAGAGATTGGGATAGAAAGTTTATTCAAAAAATAGGAATAGAGAACTTTCCAACCCTAGAGAAAGATATCAATATTCAGGTACAAGAAGGTCATAGAACACCAAGCAGATTTAAGCTAAATCAGACTCTGAAGGCACTTAATAATCAAGCACCCAACAGTCATGGGTAAAGAAAATATCCTGAAGAAAACAAGAAAAAAGAAAAAAAATAACATATAAAGGAGCTCCAGCATGTCTGGCAGCAGACTTCTCAGTGAAAGCTTATAGGCCAGGAGAGAGTGGCATGACATATTCAAAGTGCTGATGGAAAATAATCTTAACCCTAGAATATTATATCCTGCAAAAATATCCTTCAAACATTCAGGAGAAATAAAGACTTTTCCAGGTAAACAAAATCTGAGGGATTTCATCAACATCCTACAAGAAATGCTAAGAGGAGCATTTCAATATGAAAGAAAAGTACATTAATGAACAAAAAGAAACCATCTGAAGGTATAGAATATATAGGTAACAGTAAGTACATATACACAGAATACGCTAATACTGTAATTGCAGTGTATAAATCACTTATATCTTGAGTAAAAAGACTAAAAGACAAACTTATCAAATATAATAACTACAACAACTTTTTGAGATCTAGATAGTAAAAAAAGATATTAATGGAAACAACAAAAAGTTAAAAAGTGGGGGGGATAGAGTTAAAGTGTAGAATTTCTTTTATATATCCTTTGTTTGCTTATTTGTTTGTAAGAAGAGTTAAGTTATCATATGTTTAAGTAATTGGTTGTAAAATGTTTTTTGCAAGCCCCATGGTGACCTCAAATAAAAAAAACCTACAACAGGTACACAAAAAATAAAGAGCAAGAAATTGAAACACTACCCAAGAAAATTATTTTTAACAAAGGAATACAGAAAGAAAGAGAAAAAGAAACAGATCACAAAACAACAAGAAATCAAATAACAGCATGGCAGTAGTAAGTCCTTACCTATCAATAATAACATTGAATGTGAATGAACTAAACTCTCCGATCAAAAAACATAGAGTGCCTGGATAGATTAAAAAAAAAAAAAAAAACCTACCTATAGATTGTCTGCAAGAAACCCACTTCACCTATAAAGACACATATAAACTGAAAATAAAGGGATGGAAAGGGATGCAAGGATGGTTCAACATAAGCAAATCAATCAATGTGATACATCATATCAACAAAACAAAGGACAAAACCATATGATCATTTCAATTGATGCTGAAAAAGCCTTAAAATTCAACATCTCTTCATGATAAAAATTCTCAAAAAAACTGGGTGTAGAAAAAACTTGCCTTAACGTGATAAAAGCCATATGTCAGACCCACAGCTAGTACTATACTGAATGGGGAAAAATTGAAAGCCTTTCCTCTAAGATCTGGAAAAAGACAAGGATGGCCACTATCACCGGTGTTATTCAACATAGTACTAGAAGTTCTAGCTAGAGCAATCAGACAAGAGAAAGAAATAAAGGGCATCCAAATTGGAATGGAAGAAGTTAATTATCCTTGTTTGCAGATGATATGATCTTATACCTAGAGAAATGTAAAGACTCAATTCAAAAACTATTAGAACTGATAAACAAATTCAGTAAAGTTTCAGCATACAAAATCAACATACTTAAATCGGTAGCATTTCTATATGCCAACAGTAAACAATCCAAAAAAGAAACCAAGAAAGAAATCCCATTTACAAAGCTACAAATAAAATACCTCAGAATAAACATAATCAAAGAAGTGAGAGATCTCTATGATGAAAACTATAAAACATTGATGAAAGTAGTTGAAGAAGACACCAACAAATGGAAATACAGCTCATGTTCATGGATTGGAAGAATTAATATTGTTAAAATGTCCACATTTTCCAAAGAAATCTACAGATTCAATGTAATCCCCATCAAAATACCTATGACATTCTTCACAGAAATAGAAAAGATAGTACTAAAATTTATATGGAACCAAAAAAGACCCAGAATAGCCAAAGTCATCCTGAGCAAGAAGAACAAAACTGGAGGAACCACATTATCTGACTTCAAATTATAATGTACTACAGAGCTATAGTAACCAAAACAGCATGGTATTGGCATAAAAACAGACACATAGACCAACGGAACAGAATAGAGAATCCAGAAATAAATCCACACATCTATAGTGAACTTATCTTTGACAAAGGTGCCAAGGACTTACAATGGGGAAAGGACAGTCTCTTCAATAAATCGTGCTGGGAAAACTGGATATCCATATGCAGAAGAATGAAACTAGAACATTATCTCTGGCAATATACAAAAATCAAATCAAAATGGATTAAGGACTTAAATCTAAGACCTGAAACTATGAAACTACTAAGAGAAAAACAGTGAGGAAATGCTTTAGGACATTTCCTAAATGTCCTAAAGTCTGGGTGAGGACTTCTTGAGTAATACCCCCGAAGCACAGGCAACCAAAGCAAAATTGGACAAATAGGATCACATCAAGCTAAAAAGCTTATGCACAGGAAACAAAACAATCAATAAAGAGACAATCTGTATGGGAGAAAATATTTGCAAACCACCCATCTGACAAGGGATTAATAACTAGAATATGTAAGGAGCTCCGACAACTTGACAGGAAGAAATCAAATAACCTGACTAAAAATGGACAAAGGATTTCAATAGATATTTCTCAAAAGAAGACATACAAATGGCCAACAGGTATATGAAAAAATGGTGAAAATCATTAGTCATTAGAGAAATGCAAATCAAAATTACAGTGAGATATTATCTCACCCCAGTTAAAATGGCTTTTATCAAAAAGAAAGGCAATAATGAATGATGGCAACAAAGTGGAGAAAGGGGAAACCTTGTACACTGTTGGTGGGAATGTAAATTAGTGCAACCACTATGGAGAACAGTATTGAGGGTCCTTAAAAAACTAAAAATAGAACTACCATATGACCCAGCAATCCCACTGCTGGGTGTATATCCAAAGGATGGGAATTCAGTATATTGCAAAGATATCTGCACCCCCATGTTATTGCAACACTATTCACAATAGCCAAGATATGATATCAACCTAAGTGTTCATCAACGAATGAATGATAAAGAAATTGTGCTACATATACACCATGAAATAATATATAGCAATGAAAAGAATGAAATCCTGCCATTTGCAATAACACGGATGGAACTGTAGAACATTATGTTCAGTGAAATAAGTCAAGCACAGAAAGATGAATCTCACATGTTCTCACTCATATGTGGGAGCTAAATATTAAAAAAAGTTGCCCTCATGGAGGCAGAGAGTAGAATAATGGTTACCAAAAGTTAGGAGGGGTAATGAGGAGGGGGCATAAAGTGGGGATGGTTAATGGGTGCAAAAATATAGTTAGATAGTTTAGACAGAATGAACAATATTTGATAGCACAACAATGTGACTATAATCAACAATAAGTTTGAGTATACTTTAAAGTAACTAAAATAGTGGAATTGGAATATTCCTAACTCAAAGAAATGTAAAATGCCGGAGGTGATGGATACCCCAATTAGTCTGATTTGATTAATTCACATTGTATGCCTGTATCAAAACATCACATATACCCTATAATAATATGCAACTATTATGTACCCATATTAATTAAAAATGAAAATTTTTTCAAAAGAAGATAAATTACTTTAAATTTTGAAAAAAAAGAAAAAAAGAACATTAAATCATTAGATCTGAATTGACGGTGAAGAGTCAGAGTGAAGTGAGAAGAGAGAAGAAAGTGTCTAAGTCCCAGGCAGACGAACTGAGAGCCAAATGTAAATGATGCTCCACACCTTAATTACAGGAATATCATCAGGAAAAATAACAGTGACTTGCTTCATGAAAGTAGTAAATTGAAATATTTTTTACATACCAAGTAGGGTAGAAATCTGACTAAAAAACCAGGGTTAGATTAGTTCTGAGGTAACTGACAAACATTCATATTTTGTATTAATAGTCAAAGTATTGTGAAAATGTATGATGGAAAATACTAAATTTAAATTTGCAAAATCATTCGCACCCAGATTTATAAATCTATCCAGTTCGTAGATGTTGTCTCTAAATATTAGTTTCTTCATCTGTAAAACGGGGATAGTAATATTATCTACTTCTTGAATCTGTTGGAGTTATATGAGATAATGTATGTGAAAGTCTTGACACAGTGCCTAGCACAGTAAATAAACAATTTAGTTTCCCTTGGAGGGAAATAAGCTGAGTTGTATAAGAACTCATCTCTCTCCACATAAAACCTCCTCTTGATGTAAAAAAATCACAAGGCTGTTCACGTGTAGCCTTATTTTTTAGAGGCAGAGAATTCGAGGCAATAGGGAAAAGGAGAGAGATGGACTTAAAAGATCTGCTCTAGCCCCCTGTGAGAAGGACAAATGAAAGGCATATTATGGTTGACTTCAAGGATAAGCCATGACTTTTCTGGACACATTCCAAAAGAGGCCTTCCTCTAGGAAACTTGTTTAAACCACCTGAAGAATTTTTTTTTTTCCAGAGTAAATCTTCTATTATTAAGAGGCTTGTTTAATTTACAATAACATCCAACCACATACCTGTATCCCATCTGTTTGACTGAGGTACAGCTGGATGTTGACGTAGTCAGGTCTGTTCTCATGCCAAAACTGAGAGGACATAAACATGAATAGATTTACTAAAATTTTTTCTGTCTCAAAGTTTTCTGACTTGGAAAAAAAAATCTTTCTGTATACTTAGATTTTTCTAACATATTTTATTCTAGAATTTAACACATCTTCGCTTAATACAGTCAATATCTATAAGCAAATGAATACACACACACATACACACACGCATATATAATGACAGATTCTGACATTAATAACCTGCCCTACTGGCATAAATTAAATATGATGGTGGGTGGTGGAAAGGAATAATTCTGTGTTATCTTTATATATACAAAAAATCTAGCACACTAAATACTATACTAAACTAATATTCCCCTAAGTCCTTCCCAAATATTCTTTATTTTATTCCCTAAGAGTCCTTAAATTTTACCTAGGAGTTCACTCATCATGAACATAATTTTCTTTAAAAAAAAAGACAATAGTGATATAGGCTATGTATGCTAGCAAATGCAAAACCAAACAAATAACAAAAACAAACAATAGACACTTTTTCTTGTTCCTGCCTTCCTCTTACTCAGCACTGGTTTCCCTTGTATAAAAATGTATGTGGCAAGAAATATACCTGGCAAAAATAAACAGTCTGGAAAAAGTATGGAACAATAAATCCCCATTTCCCCCTTCCCCCAGGTTCTTGCAACCACCATTCTACTTTCTAAGCACCTTTCACCTATCAAAAAAATCAATTCACAGTGGATAAGAGACTTAAACCTAAGGCATGAAACTATAAGAATTCTAGAAGAAAATTCTAGAGGAAAAACTCTTATAGACATTGGCCTAGGCAGAGATTTTATGAAGAAGACCCCAAAGGCAATCACAGCAACAACAAAAATAAATACATGGGACCTGATCAAATTAAAAAGCTGCACAGCCAAGGAAACTATCATGAGAGCAAACAGACAACCTACAGAATGGGAGAAAATATTCACATGTTACACATCCGATAAAGGGCTGATAACTAGAATCTATATAGAACTCAGGAAAATCAGCATGAAAAAATCAAACAACCCTATCAAAAAGTGGGCAAAGGACATGAACAGAAACTTTTCAAAAGACGACAGACTAATGATCAACAAACACATGAAAAAAATGCTCAACGTCTCTAATCATCAGGGAAATGCAAATCAAAACCACAATGAGATATCACTTATCTCCAGTGAGACTGGCTTTTATCAAAAAGTCCCAAAAAAATAAATGTTGGCATGGATGCGGAGAGATAGGAACACTCATACACTGCTTGTGGGCCTGCAAACTAGTATAACCTCTGTGGAAAGTAATATGGAGATACCTCAAAGAGCTACAAGTAGAACTACCATTTGATCCAGCAATCCCATTACTGGGCATCTACCCAAAAGAATAAAAGACATTCTATAAAAAAGACATCTGCACTAGAATGTTTATAGCAGCACAATTCACAATTGCAAAGATGTGGAAATAACCCATGTACCCATCAATACATGAGTGGATTAATAAAATGTGATATATATATACCATAGAGTTCTATTCAGCCACAGAAAACAATGGTGATCTAGCACATCTTGTATTATCTTGGATAGGGCTGGATAGGGCATTCTATTTAGTGAAGTATCACAAGAATGGAAAAACAAGCACCACATGTACTCACCATCAAATTGGCATTAACTGATCAATACTTAAGTGCACATATAGTAGTAACATTCATTGGGTGTCAGGCAGATGGGAGGGGGAGGAGGGGATGGGTATATACACATCTAATGGGTGTGGTGCGCATCCTCCGGGGGATGGACACGCTTGAAGCTCTGACTCAGGTGGGGAAAAGGCAATATATGTAACCTAAACATTTGTACCCTCGTCATATGCTGAAATAAAAAAAAAATTAAAAAAAATAAAACGGTAGTTTAATTTGTAATGTATCTCCTATGAGTGGAATCATACAATATTTTACCTTTTGTGTCTGGCTTATTTCACTTAGCATAATGTCAACGTTCACCCATGTTGTAGCATGTGTCATAATTTCCTTCCTTTTAAGGCTGAATAGTATTCCATTTTATGTGTATGACACATTTTGTTTATCCATTCATCTATGGATATTCATCGATGAATATTTGGGTTGTTTCCATCTTTTGGCTATTGTGAATAGTGCTTCTATGAACATTGGTGTACAAATATCTGTTTGATTCCCTGCTTTCAATTATTCTAGGTATATATCTAGAATGATTTTTTTTTTTTTTTTTTTGCATAAAGTCCAAGGCCTTATGTAATCTACCTCTTCCTAGAAAGCACCCATGCCACCTCTCTAATTGCCTCTCCTACCATTCTTTCTCCTGCTTACTTTGCTCCATCCACACAGACCTCCTTCCTCTTCTTCCAACACAGCAAGCATACTATTGCATTGGGGTCCTTGCTTGTGAAGTTAGGTTCTTTCACCTTGAAATTTTTATCCAAAATACGTGTCTAGTCTGCTCATTCACTTTACTCAATTCTCTCCTCCAACAGCATTTTGTTTGGTGGGGTTCAAGAACAATATAAATTACCATGCGCTCTACTGTTTATGTTGCTTCACCCCTACTTTCCTCTTCTTTGTTCTAATTGATTGGAATCTAATATTCAGGCATGCTATGTGTTTATTGGTTTGTTGTCTATCTCCCCCACTTAAAATGTAAACTACATGAGATCAGAAATTTGGTTTT